CCATTTTATAGATTAGTTTTTGCTCTAGCCAGACTTAACACTACGTTATTGATAATTTTAGGAACTAGATAGAACAGGAAAGAGAATAGTTTATTAAATACAGGTAGTCCTTGACTTACAACAGTTCACTTAGTGACCATTCAAAGTTACAAGGGCACTGAAAAAAGTGACTTATGACCATTTTTCACACTTATGGCCGTTGCAGCATCCCCCATGGTCACGTGATTTATATTGGGATGCTTGACAACAGACTCACATTTATGACGGTTTGCAGAGTTATCCCCAGAGTCATATGATGCCCTTTTGCGATCTCCTGAGAAGCAAAGTCAACAGGGAAACCAGATTAACTTAAGAACCAGGTATCTAATTTAAGAACTGCAGTGATTCACTTAACAAAGGAGGTGAGAAAACTCGTAAAATGGGGCAAAACTCACTGAACAAATTTCTCACTTAACTATAGAAATGTTGGGCTCAGTTGTGGTCATAAGTTGAGACTACCTGTAATTCTTTGTTGGGGGATTCTCAGGAAACTACAAGAGCAGTTGAAGGCGGTGCAAAGTGCAAAGAGTGTAGTAGTGGGATAAAATTACAAGGTAAACCAATTAAGCAAGCAAGATTCAAATTCAAGGAGTCAGCTGAACAGAATAGGAAAGATGTGAGCTTTTAATAGTGCCAACTTTAGGAATTTAAGGAAATAGAAGTATGGGGTTGTGTTCTAATTATTGAAAAAAATAATAGCCAGAAGTGCACACATCATTAATCTGTTCGATACAGCAGAATAAGCGATGTAGATATTGGGCGCAGAAAGAGGGAAAAGAAACAGAGATGGGAATTATGACAATACAGAAGACGCTGCATAATAAGCAAAACTAAGCACAAAGTATTAAAAAATTGCAACAGAGAACTAAAAAACTTCAGGAATACTGATAAAATATTACTAATATTTAAGTATGAAATATGTGCTGTGTTTTACTGAAATGAACTTTTTAAAGTGAGAACAGTAAACCAGTGAAACGACTTGCCTCCAGAAGCTGTGGGTGCTCCATCACTGGAGGTTTTAAGAAGAGACTGGACAGCCATTTGTCTGGAATGGTATAGGCCAGGGGTGTCCAACCTTGGCAACTTTAAGACTTGTGGACTTCAACTCCCA